GCAAGAAAATAACATGAAACTGTATGTATTTAAAACAATCTTTTGTCCTTTCTGATGTTAAACTTTCAATATCAAGTTGACTTTAAAAAACAACAGTCAACGCTAGCTCATATAGAGTCTGTGGTTTAAAATATTGTCTCCCCAACCAATCACAAGCTTGATTCAATTAGAAATATGTATATATAAAAATATATATGTAAATTATATTCTTCAAAGTTGCAAAGATAGATTGTAACATTATGGATATGCTAGTTTGACAATTCTTCTGTAACATATACATAGATCAATACATATACAGATTATTGTGTGCATCAAAAAAATCGATCAATATATAAGTATCAAAACAAAATGAATAGGGAACCTGACTAAAAAGGCATCTGAAAATTTCTGCAAGTCTAAAATTCTGTCACAATAAAAATTTTAAGAAAAGGAAAAGAAGGCAGCAGAATTTATTTCCCGTTTCTTGGTGACAGAAACTCCTTTAATGCACGTGTGGGGTGTTGCTTGTTGCATCTCTTAGTGTGACCATCAGCTGATCAGGGAGATGACTGGGAAATCATTTCAAACAATGGCACCGAGGATTCAGAACCCAGTCAGGAACAGTACCGACTGTCACCTTCCTGCACAGCTCGAGAACCGCACTCACCGTAGCCATGTCTATGGAAGCCGTGGCTTCGTCCATAATGAGAATACTGCTCTTGCGGACGAAGGCCCTGGCAAGGCAAAACAGCTGTCTCTGGCCAACGCTAAAATTCTCCCCACCTTCCGTGACCACTGCATCTAAGTCAGAAAAGAAGCAGAGATTTCACTAATGAAAGGGGATTGACATTCTCCTTGGGCAAAGTTATGAAAAAATACAACAGCAGAGCAGCACGATGGCCATCATTTTGCACTAAAGGAAGTATTTCCCGTAGAAAGACAAAGTGGAAAAATGAAGATGACACCTGATAACAGAACACGAAATGTTGTTAAATGCTTTGAAGCCTGGAAGACCTTGGGTATTTTAAAATCGGTTATTGTAATTCTATAAGTGGCTTGTCCAAGGTCACACTTAGCAAATACACAATAGAGCTTGATAAGAAGTATTCCTGTTCCAATCCCAGTTCTTTCCATTGTACTCTCCCACTGGACTATAAGAACCAAGTAGACAAGGACTGAGTTTGCTTTTGCTTATCTGTGTATTTCTAATACTGTGGTATCTCACACGGACACTAAACACAGAATTGTGATGTGGATAAATGAATGATACATCCTCATTATCTTATTTATTATGCTTTTTATTTCTATCACTATATAAACTGCTATTGTGAAATTCAGATGAATTCTGTTTCCAAAAATTTCTTTAATTAGAATTCAAATACTTTTTATTCAAGCCCTGGGGGGAATTTCTATCAATTAGTCTCTCACCACAACACATTTTTATAACTTTTCATGGTTGGAGACTGTGAATTTATTTTTCCCAATTTTAACTTAGATAATAACTAAGGAGGGTGCTGAATGTTCTTTACCAGATTTAGCCTGAGCCAGATCTTTGTTAAGAAAATTGGTGTCACCTTTATTAAGATGGTGAACACAACATTTGGTGAGTTACATAGCGTAAGGACAATCCCTTATTGTTTAAGCGATATATGTCATAAACACCAAACTCTGGGCCCATAGTTTGGATCAGGCCCTCTTGTTAAGGAAGAGTACTATAACTGTTTATCTTTCAAAGTGTTAGGGACAGCAGTGGGGGTGGGTCTCTAAATGCCAAGAGAGAAGGTCTGTAAGCATGAATTAATGTCTCACATAGACTTTCTGGGCTCTCTACAGGAAATAACAAAAATTACTATGGGAAAGTTCATCCAGAGTTCTGGAATTACTCCCACCACTGACACTAGAAAAGTCAATAAAACTTCCCTTAAAGACAGGCTGTCTTGATTTTTGCTTGTGGTTTGCTTCTACTTGGGACTTAATTAAAATCATAAAAGCTCTTGTTTTTGAGTAGGCCCTCCTTTTCCAAATAAAATAACAAATACACATGGTTTTGTTTTGTATGTTGACTTTTTTTATAAAATGAGATGCCAAAACGACACTATCAGTTTGGCAACTACATATTGTGTATTAAAATTAGAATATAGGAGTTGGGGATTTAGCTCAGTGGCACAGTGCCTGCCTCACAAGCACTGGTTCGATCCTGGCACACACCCCCAATTAGAAGATAAAAAAGCTATTGTTGTTTTTACTGTTTTCTTAAATGAGTTCAGATTTTAAGGAAGCAAAAGTCAAAGATTGTAGATGTTCATTTTTATGAATTAAGGAAAATAGGAACTCTTGTCTTACTAACATGTTCTTTCATCATCATTTATGGGTCGGAAATTGGATTGAATTTTTCAGTAATTGTTTAAATATATGTTTCATTCTTTACAGAAATGGCCAAAACTGATAGTGTAACAAGATAGTAATACAACATAATGTCTTCAAACAAGACGAGAATTATATTGTGTAAGTAAAAGAAGAAAGTGGCTACCAACGTGAAGATATGGGCTTCTCCTAAATCACATCAGGACTTTGAAATTTAACAGCCTCTAAAATGTGTTATGTATTTTCTGAGGCTAAGTGAACAGGCATGACCACAAGAAGCAAGTGATTCAACTGATCCGTGCCCACAACGGTGAGAAGAATGAAAAGGTAAACGTATTAACTGGAATATTTTGGAGTGCTTGTATGCAGCAGAATTTGTCATTTGATTCATCGCCTTATGTGCCAGGGAAATATCACAAGATTTTACAGCGTCCTAATGACCTTTCCTAGACGAAGCACAAGCAGATCCAACATCAGACCAGGGGTAGAGCTCAGTGGCAGGGCACGTCCATAGTATGCATAAGCTTAGCCTTGGGTTTGAGCCTTAGCACTAAAAATAAATCAATATAAAAAAGCGTATTTCTAACACTGGAATTATATGATTCCAACATAAGATATATAGAGAGATATGTAGCATTAATTACATATGTACAAAATAAATGTGTTTTTAGAAACAATACCTAGACCTCCAGTTAGAGATTTGACCATATTCTTCAGCTGGGCAATTTCCAGAGCCTCCCAGAGTCTGTCATCCGTGCATTTGCACTCTGGATCTAAATTAAATCTGCAGGGAAAAATCAGTTATTTCATAAATTAAAATAATACAATAGATGAAATAAAAATAGAGAGCTTTTTTTGCATATTTGCTTATTGGTTTTCTTTTTCTTAAATGTTAGGTTCTGTTCATTTCGGTTACTGCTTTGTATTCAGCACCTGGAACACAGCAAGCCCTGAATTCATGCTTTGTGAGTGAATGAATGATCTCAATGTTCCCAAAAGCTTTTCTGATGATACCATAGGTAAATTCATACACATGGTAAAATATTAGTGTCGTTAACTGGATGTCTCCACTCCATACTATGTTCAGCATAACCTGAATAGTGTCCAGCAAAATATTTCAGCAGCACTGATGCTAAATACATAAATCAATATGGGATCCTACAGTGCTATTTAGATAAGCTGCGCTACACCAACCAAAGTGGAAGTATTCATTATACATACACCGGATGATAGGGATTGACTATAAGATTGCTAAACCGCTTGACCCACGCAGAACTTGTAATTGAAGTCATTTTACAGGCAGTGTTGAACAATCTTACACACATTTTCTCAAAATAAAGAGTAACTGTTAAATGGAGGTGGCAAGCAGTTCTTTGTAATTACATGAATGGAGGAGAGGAAGAAGAGAGAAAAAGACGGATGAAATGAGAAGCACGATTTGGTGGAGGAATCAAGGCAGACTCTGGAATCAGATCAGCTGGTTGGAAGGGCAGCCCCGCCACTTCATAGAGGCATGTGAGCTTGGGCAAGTTACGCCTTTCTTGGAATCACTCTTTTGTAAAAGACTCATCTGGAAAACGGAAGTAACAATAGTATATATTGCAGAACAACGTTTTAAGAATCCAGTCGGACAATATACTTAACACCAGCAAATAGTGCACAGCTCCATTTCCTTTTTGTGGATAATTAGGAACCAGGCATAGAGATTGTTCAGCTTTGTCAAAGCAGACGGGACTGAAAGCAAAATGTTAAGGAACAGGGAGATAGGTAAAGGGAGTAACAAAGCTCAGAATATCTGCTGAGGCCAGGCCAGACACAAGACTTAGGCAGGATATCTGTAGGTAGATCTCAGAAATGTCGACCAAGAATCACTGCTCCCACGAACAGAGGACAAAGTGGATTTAACTTGGAAAACTGAAAGAGAAGCTCTTGGGATATGCGAGTGGCTTCTGTAGGTTACTTTACCGTCCCTGCAATTTCTCATCCGCATTGTTGGACAGTATCTTTACTTTTATCGTCTTGATACTGTTATTTCACACCTACCTGGTGAATAATTCTCTGAGCAAAATATTCCTATGAGCCAAAGGATAAATCCTGAGGGACACAGGTAGGCTGAATATGCCACCTACCTAATAGAACCACTGAACAGGATTGGATCCTGCAAAATGATTGACAGTCTCGAACGGAGGGTGTGCAGCGGTAGTTTAGAAATGTCTATGCCATCAATGACAATCTTTCCTGTTAAGGAAAAATGAAAATTACAGAAATGGAGTCAACTCAAAAGTAAAATTTTAATCTGTTCACCCATTAAAAGTTTTTTTTCCTTGAGGCTCTGGGTTTGATCTTCAGCACCATGAAATGAAACAAAACAAAAACAAAACCCTTTTCTACTTCTGAGATGAAATACAGGATATAAAAATTTCCACTTAAATATTTAAAACATTGTTATTTGTTTCTTTTAAAATACACATTTTTGCTAGTAACTTTGTATTTCTTATGTAATTCTCATAAAGGATTTTTTAGTTCATTCAATTTGTGTGGGCATGCAAATAAAAAGTACTTCTATCTCTTTTGAAGTCCTTTCCTGCTATTCCTTTATCCTCTTTCCTCACTGTATTTTCTTTCATAGGATCCATCAGAATCTTACTTTTTTTGTGTATCTCCTTATGTTTTTAATTGTCTCTCCTCCAATAGAGTATAAGCATCTTGAAGATGAAGATTTTGGTGTCATTCACTTCTGTACTGACTGAATAATACAATGCTTCAAAAATAGGAAGGCAAATTATATGAAATAGACACTAAATTTTACTAAATTTCCCCCTACTGTGTGTAGACTTGGAGGACAATGCACTCTTGATGCTCTGTCCTCAGCTTGATAGATTACTTTTATCATCTCACTTTTATACAGAGGGAATATTGCCCTGCAAAATATGTTTGTCAGGCTCACAAGAGCAGCTGCAGCCCACTTCCCTGGTAAGTTGACATTCAAGAGCAGGCAAGGGTGATTAGCCCAAACTGTGTCCTTTGGGGATAGTACATCATCTATTAAGATATTAATAGCCTAATGCTACTAAAAGGAAACAAGTCTGTGTTAGTTGACACTGGGCCCGAAATTCTGTTTCTAGACACATGAGGATCAGGTAACCTATTATGGATAGTCATCAGCACAGTTCTTGACGAGAAGCACCAGTCAAATGTTACTGGATCATACAGTTGCCTTATGACACAAATCTCACTGAAAGTCCTCAAAATATCTGCGTATTATAACTGGCCACGGAAAGAGTGAACTGCTAAGCCAATGATGGATGCTTATCCTATTTTAGAATTTAAACCTTCCCCCAAATTACCATAATTGAATTTTGTTGTTCATAAACTGACCTTTTGTCTTACAAAGCTGTCATGTCGATTAAATTAATAATGTAAACCATTAAGTACAATAACATGCAAAATAGTATACTCATCATTATAACCATAGTGATAATAACAGGAAGCCCTTCTTTGAGCCAGGGGTCAATTTCATTGCTGGATCCCCTTCCATTTAATATGACTTAGCTACTGGCCTATTTATAAGCCACTTGCTAGACTAGATAATGTGACATGTTTTTCTGAAATAAAGATAATTTTTATGCTCTTGCTATGAGTGAATGAATTTTTAATAATTTGTGTATGTGTTAATGGCAGTGGAACCCATGGCTTCCACACTGAGCTCTCTCCAAGCCCCTCCTCCTTTTTAAATCTTGAGACAGAATTTCACTAAGACACGAAGTTGCCCAACTGGTCTTTGACTTGTTATCTGCTTGCTTTAACTTCCCACAGTGCTGGGACTAGGAACATGGGCACTATGCCTAGTGAATAAAATATTTTTTTCATACTGTTAATGTGCTTAAGGCTTAACAGAAAATGTTGCTGGGTTCCTCACAAAGCATTCAGTATCACGTTATTCAGGAAATGATGATAAGCATCACGGACCAACAGTTAAAATACGTATCACTTATTTTCTCGAAATTTCTTCCTTTGGTAGAAAAAGATATATTTTTAGTCTGAGGGAAGCAAGCCAACATTCCCCTCTTCCTTCCTTTTTAATAACCACCTACATCTACTGCTGTTGAGAGCAGGTGACCTTGTTCTTTTATTAGAACTCTTCAGCAGCAATCTCCTGATCTGAGTTTAGACTTACTTTATGTCCCCAATTCTAAGTTCTTTCTTTATCCTTAGGCTGTTTATTTGAAATACCTGCCTTGAACCATGGGCAGGACACAACATCCTTATAAATATTTTATTTTCATTTGTGCAGAATTAGGCAAGTGACTTTTTAAATTACGTTTCTGAAAATAAAGCACTATGTGGCCAATTGGAAAATTCAGCTAACAACTCACCATCAAATATATCAACCATTCTGAAGAAAGCCAGAGATAAGGATGACTTCCCACTGCCGGTGCGTCCACATATGCCCACCTGAAAAACCAGCTGTCACTTGGAGAGAAGAGGACTCAGAAAAAGGGCAGAAAGTGGTCAAAAGCATTTTTAACTTAGACAAGCTATCATGATACAAGCACAATTCTATTTAAATGATTATACTAGGACCTCATGTTCTTCTTAGATCTTAAGAATTATCATTATTAAAAGTAAAATATGAAATCTTAGCCAAATCCTCCATGAATTATATGCTATTTGACTGTATTTTCCTTCATTGTTTGATTCTTGAAATTGGTCGATCATTGGACTGACAAACAGCTATTCCATTTTCATCTCAGTTATGATGCATTTATAACAAAAAGTTGAATGGGTCCATTTTTTAATCCACACCTTTTCTTTTTACAGTGACTTTAAAAAGTCACTTTGGGACAAGGGCTAGAATGGAGGCAAAGGTTTCAAAAGAAATGTCTGACCGGGTCAAGAGCCAGAAGCCAGAAATTTAAACTACACAACCATCACTGACTTTTCTTTTTCTCCTTTTGCATGGGAGGCTAACAAATGGTAACATGATTAGAGAATATGTACTGTACTATAATTATGTCTCTCTCTCTTTTATTTTTTTATGCAGATACTTTTCCCTATGTCATGCAGGAAATATTATGTGAGCCCAGAGAGAATATACTTGGCTTCGGTGGTGACAGTGGGCCCCACTGGAGCTTTTATGAACAGAACAGATAAAAGCACGGTGAAGCCATACCTTTTGCCCAGGTTTGATGTAAGCCTTGACGTGTTTGAGGACAGGCTTCAGATTGTTTTCATATCTGACACAAAGATCATGAATCTTGATCTCTCCTTCCTGTGGCCAATGTTCTGGAACCTGAGAAGGATCTGAGGGATGGAGTCGGGAAATAGATAACACAGGTAGATAGTAAATAGATAAATAATAGATACATGTAGAAAGAAATATACATAAATATAAATTTATAATAATATAACTATATAAGTATAAATGTATAATAATGATTTTAATATATAAATTTTCTCCTTAACTTAAATATTGGATCAGTATCCATGGTGGTGGTTTGTTTAATTTAAGCCACAAAGTAAGCACATCTCGATTAAGAACTTAACATTTTTTTCCTGTGTCTATTTTTTGCAGCATTAACCAGCATCATGTCCTTCCAGCAGTCCACACTCAATTCTATTCAAGGTGAGCACAGATGGTTCACTTGTGATTAGATATTTGTTCAGTCAGCTGATTAGCAAACACTGAGTGCTTAAAATGGGCAATGTGCTCAGGATATGGAGATCAGTGGCACAGCTCAAGGCGCTTTCTGTGTCTTGGGGAAGATACAAGTGAGTCCGAATCCACAGCAGCCCAGGGTGGGGGTTTGCCCGAGATGCTCTGAGAACCTGTGGGTTCCAGCAGTGTCACCCAAAAGAGGTGATGCCTCAAGTGGATCTCAAAGGATGAGAGCTGGGAAAATGTGTTGCAAATATATTAAAGAGAAGAACAAAGATGAAAAGAAGGTATAGCATCTTCGTGTGGCCAAAGTAAGATTTGGGCAGGTGGATGGCAAGGATTGAGACCAGGCAGGTAGGGAAGGGTTCTTTACTGAAGGGTCTCTTGGTCTTAACTGTGTTATTTGGAATTTGTCCTTGAGGATCTAGAAAGCTATTGTTGGATTTAGGCAAACATATGCATTTTAAATTTGTGATTTGCATTTAGCAGATTATTCTGTCTTCAGTAACAATATCCTGCCAGATTTACTCTAGTAGAATCAAGAATCTTCTTTTGCATTTTAAAATCCAAGTTGCTTTTGTTGTTTTGCAGTATTGGGGATTGAATCCAAGGCCTTCACACAGGCTACATCGTCAGCTCTTTTTATTCTGAGACATGGTCTTGCTAAATTCCCTAGCTAGGTTTTAATTTGTTATCTTCCTGCCTCAGCTTCCCAGAGTGCTGGTATAACTGGCATGCGCCATCTCCTGTGGCTATCACAGCCAAGTTTCTTGCAATATAAGTTAACAAGTCTTCATAAATAAAATAAAATAGTGCATAGTTTAGGTTGGCAATTGATATAATAAAGCCCAAATACTTTTATAACTCTATTTAAATATTATTAAATAATGTCTACTTGGATTCTAGTTGAGTCCAAGACTTTTCAGGCCTACAATAGCCATATCTTGTCTGGTGTTGATAATCAAGCAAAATCAGAGTAAGAGGGATGTTAATGTGGAAAACAAAATCAAAAGCAACATCATGCCTGACATGCAAGTAATATTTGTTTAAAGCAAACACCTAAGTGAAACCAAATAGTGTTCATATCAGTACCTATGGTGCCTTCATAGTTCTCTGACTCCATGGTCAAGAAGCTGTTCACTTTCTTCACTGCACCCATCTGGACCTCCAGGTCAGCCAAGTTCCTCACAACCCAATTCAAATAGTTGGTTATCTGTGTGAGGGGACAGAAAATGAGCATGACTAAAGTCAGAGGAAGAAATTTTCATAATCACTGTATATGTGAGGATAAGATGGCTCAGACAGCATTGATGGGGGCACAACCCACAAGCGCTTCAGATCATCCGAGACCAGGGAGAAGATTCTGAGCTGTATTGGCCCAGGTATTCATTCTTCCTCCATGGTTCTCCCAGGTAACTGTTTTGTGAGCTTTCCTATGATATTTCTGGGGTAGTTATATGTACTTCTATTTGGACTCTCTCATATTCACACTTGCTTTATTGTGCACAAGGGGACTTTGAACAACTCAGGATAGAGGGCTGTAAACCATGGGATTTGGGAAGTTTTTAACAATTGTCTTACAATGTCAGAAACGAATCCAAACTATCCTAAAATGTGAGATTTGGGACTGAATCTACTATTCTCAAGATGTTGTTTATGCATTCAAACTGTTCTACCATCCATGAAAGTTGATAGTACATTTCTTCAACACTGTATAGAAAGAGAGGAACTTTCTCTTTTTTCTTTTTAAATATTTTTACAGTATATGTGTGTGGTACATAACAAATACATTCATCGAGGCGATTTTCATCCATACTTACCGTAAGTGCGTACAGAAGCCCCAAACCCACCAATCCAGAATTGGAAGATCCACTAATGGAGGCAATAGATGCAGTGAGGACGATGCAAGCTCCCAGATAATCCTGGAAGAGTTAAAAGATTATTCCCCAAAAGCCGGACATCTCAACCGACTGAAGAGGGGTGATCACTCAGCAAATACACAGCATTCCTTGCAGGGGATGGTAGATGCCCAAGATGTGGAATAAAGACAACTTACAACATCATAGGTGGAATGTAAGTGATGCCACATTCTCATAATATACAAGAAGATACAACTGCTATCATAACCAGGATCACATTGAATTTCCTCTTAAAATATATA